AAAATCATGATGTCAAATTAGCATGTGATGTTTTGAACTTTCATTTTTGAACTGTTTAGGGCCAAGGACCCATACATAGGTTTAATGCTTATTATCATTTGTAGAATTCAAATAATTCCAATGGCATCCATCAAAAGGCCTCAGTTTAATAGGTATTAGCATTATTGTATCACTGCTGGTGATTTGAAGGAGACAATAAACCAAACAAATTAATTAAAGGCCCCATGTCATGCTTTTCCGGTTATTACCCGTCCCCTTGTGTGTTATGAAGGTTTTTATGCATGTAAACAGTCTGCAGAGTCAAAAACCCTCAAAGTACACCCTGTAGGGAGTAAAACTCTAACACAGAAAATACCTCCCCAAAACGCCTCGTTGGAGATTTCTCATTTTCCAATGTTTTCTTCCTGGGTATCGCTACGTAGGGATACCCAGTAGCCACGCCCTCTGCCAGCCTTTCACGAAACAAAGCTTCCCAAACCTTTCAGCGATTCATGCCGGATATGTACAGCGTAGGGCACTGAAGTACGATGCTGTTCCTACTTTGTTTGGACCAGCGGGAGATTCGGGTACACAACCTGTAAGTATTCATTGCTGTTTGTGTATTTATGATGTTGAAAACAAACAAGGTATCTACCACGACTGTTTAAATGGGTAAATGTTTTTCGGGCTACTACGTTGGGATCGCGGAGAAATGTTCTCCGCAGACCAGTGGCGGTTCTAACACATTTTACATGGGGTGGCAAAGGGGGGGCAAGAGGTCATGCAAGGGTAGCATGGGAGGGCGGACCGTACGTGGTATTTTATACTGTATAACCTATTTATTGTTAAATCATGCCCTAACACAAGTGTTCTCAATGCACAAGAGAAACAAGGTGTTCAGACAAACAAACTAAAATATAGTATAAAAGTTGTATAATTTTGCACGGATTCCAGAATCGGGGAAAACTACAATATTCTGGAGTCAATGAGTTCAAATTGTCCAACATGCTATATAGCGCCACCTATGGCCATTTCCATTTTTGGAAAGATATACAAAGTCGCACCGTAACTCCAAATGACCTGAAATTTTGCTCACTTATTCGGGTGGACCTGCTCTACATATAATCTCCTTGAACCCCTAAGCTCCGCCTACTTTTTTTAAATTTAAATTAGCATAATTTTATTAAACAGTTAAATATTCACTTAAATTTCAATTTTTTGTTTTTCAACACCAAACTTAGTATACAGCATCGTTGGAGGGTCAGACACATTACCGTAGAAAATGAGCATGTTAACACGATAAATATTGCCGCCATGAATCAAAACGTACTCGCAAAAAGCGGGGCTTAGATAGAAATGCTCATAACTCATCAACAATGTATCCAAAAAACACACATTTTGGTGGTAAGGTTCATTCTGTATTGGGGAATAGGCACAACAAGTAATTTTCTTTTTGGACTATAGGGGGCGCCAAAAACATGACAAATGTATAACTCAAGAACTGATGGACAAAATCATTTTTTTATTTTTTAGACATACTCTGGGGGTGAGTATGAACTTATATTTAAAGTGTTGCAACGAATGACAAATGTGGGCGTGGCCTGTACTTTTTTTTTATGACGATGTGCTAAAATGTGCTTCGGAACGCAAAACTTGGGACACCCGTCAAAGCCCACGACCTTTTCGAGAATGTAAAAAAAAAACGTAATTTTTCCAAAGATCTGCTCACTAGCACCCCCTATTGTGTGGTAGTCACATATAGTTTCTCAGAACTTCACCAATTTTGGCACACACATTTCTCATGGAATTGCGGACATATTACTAATTTGCTTCCATTAGCCCCGCCCCCGAGAAAGTCGGCCATTTTGAAAAATGTGCGTTTTTCATGCATTTTAAGCACATTCTTGCAAACTCCTCCTGGGGGATTTTTGGAAAAATTCCAATCCAGGACAAGTTCAGCCCCTATCCAATATGATACTTAATTGCGGAGCACATTTTTGAAAAATCACTCGTGGAGGTCGTAAGCTAACAGTGAATACACCATTTTTGACGATTTACATGTCGCAAATTGCTCCAAACTGCTCGCATATAGTTTATCCGATATTCACGAAACGCTATATACAAATTGCTATTATGATTGCACACATATTTCAAATTGCTTTTCATTAGCCCCGCCCCCCAGAAAGTCGGGCATTTTGAAAACTGTGTGTTTTTCATGCATTTTAAGCACATTTTTGCTAATTCGTCTTAGGGAAATGATCGGAAAAATTCCAATCTAGGGCAACTTAAGCGCATATCCAATGTGATGCTACATTACAAAGGAATAGTCGATCGCTTGAACATGGAGCTCGTAAGCTAACGGAGAATGTACCATTTTTGACCATTTATATGTCAGATACTACCTTAAGCTACTGAGACCCGCCTGTCTGCCCGGCACATCAACTCTCACACACACACACAAACAGACACACAAACACACAAACACACACACACTCACCTACTGTTTGTCCAACAACGCCCTTTGCTGGCGGCATATTCATTACAACAGACACCTATACACTCCATAACCCTAACCCTAACCCTAACCCTAACCCTAACCCTAACCCTAACCCTACTGTTTATTTGTAGATATCTCCTAAAGCCTACAAATAAAGTGTGAAATGTAGGCCTGTTACATATATTATTGAACGATATATATTATACACACTGTTCTGCTTTCTGCACTGACCTCAGCAGCTGTTCTCACTGTAAACATCGCGTCACAATGAAAGCAGTTGTATTAAACAAATAAATAGCCTAACATCCAGGGGAGATGTGATTAGTGAGTAAACAAACGGTAAAGGCCAGAAAGTCTGATGCACATTTGATCATCTTAATTAACTTATAATCACAACGTGAACAGTTTGCAGAGCTGTGCTTCATTGACATAACTCCAGCCATACGTCACGCCTCTTTTAAACATCACTGTTGGCTGAAATCCACTCCGGAGAATACATCAGTGTATCCTCGGTTATAGCTCCTCCAGAGAGACTCCTCTCTCCTCTCTCCTCTAAATCAGTGTATCCTCGGTTACGGCTCCTCCAGACAGCCTCCTCGATAATCGATCCTCGACGAGCCTTTAGACAAATTTGTTTTCCTTCGACACGTCGCGCCGACATCCGTTTCCGGGTCGCTGCCGGAGGACCTGGGAGTCTGGGACGCCAAAATTATAGAAATGACAAACGGCTCATTTCGGAGGACTCGCACAGGTCTGCTTGACGGCGGGACGACCGGCTGCCCTCCCCGACAGGCGCACTGACGCGAGGGCCCGCTCATCACTGCGCGCACTTCTGCGAACGCAGTTTTAATTAATATTATGTTTCAAGCTCTCGTCCTTATTAAAAACAAAACCAGTCAAAGGGGAAATGCTCCCAGGGGAAGCTGATCCACCTTCAGGTGCTGGGACAGCTCGGTCTCTCTGCAGCGGTGTGAGCGGTGTGAGCGGTGTGAGTCTGTGTGAACGCCGCTCCGTAGTTTATTGCAGGGCCGTAGCTACGTTTTTAACGGGCCTAAGATGATATTTAAAATGATTTACTTTTAATTCATGAACTGCTTGTTTCGTTTCTTGAGAAGCTTGTGGACATAGTGTAGGTTTGTTTCAACAAGTACAGTTTTAGGGACACAAAAGTTATGGGGGCAGCTGGGGGGGCAAGGCTCTACAGTGGGGGGGCAGCTGCCCCCCCTTTCCCCCCCGTAGATCCGCCCCTGCCGCAGACCCATGCTCACAGCGTTATAAACCTTTTTCTTACTCAATATCAAGCCACACTTATTGTTTTTACTTCGGCTGTGAGTGTTTGTGTGTGCTCAGGATGAGTTTCGCTTGTTTTTGCTGTATCGCCGACACAGAAGCCTGTCTGCTCCTTGCAGCTGCGAGCAGCAGCAACGAGCCTCAACGTCACGACCAATCAGAGCACCCTGGGCTCACAGGGAGGGGGGGGGGGCAGGAGCTCCAACAAGCCGTTTAGGACAGAGAGTGAATACCGGTGAATACACATACTTTACAGAGATGCTGTATGAGAAACCAATGTGAGTTTGGAAAATTGCACAGTATAAATCTATTTTAGTAGACCTCAACAATGGAATTATGATCAGTAGAAATGGCCATGACATGGGATCTTTAAGGCTAGCTCACTGCAATGACATAGTTCCAGGGGTTCACCATACACCATGCAGCCGGTCTCAAATAAACGACAAAATACGTTTGTGCTTTCAAAAACTTGACTTAAATAAACATGTTTTATATTACGTTAGGTACTTGGATGGGTTTGAGGAAAACTTGTGATTTGGGTTAGAAAGGTTTAAGTTGATTGTATCATTTCTACAAAGCTGTCACTTAAGCATAAACTAACGTTGTTTTTGTGCACTTACTTACTGTAGCATTTAGGTTATTTCTACAGGTCAGAGCAACTGGGTTGTAGACTAAATGACAAGTGTGCTTTAAAGTGCAGCTTCTGAGGATACAGCAATGAGCTTTGACGGACACATTTTCCCCCAACCACACAGTCTCAACCCTTCAAAATATGACATGACTAATAAACAGCTGTGCCATGCAGTGTTTATAGGCAAACATCAGCCAGGGTTGGGTACTTAGAACCAGTTCTGATGTGAAAATGTTTTTACAAATTAGGGATACGCCTTTCTTAGGTATCTGAGTGGATAGAATAACATGTAATCAGTGTGCCAACAAAAACAATGCAATTAATACCCTAAGATGTAGTCATAAAGCTAGAGCCGTTTAAGTACAAATACTGACTTTTTGTTCATCCAAACATATGATATCGACGATATTGTTGGCTGTGTCCACTTGGTGCAGGCATTATGTTGTAATTCCTATACACCAAGAAAGCATTTCATTATCAATTGACTTTCTGATAATTCATATTTATGTATGTGTACACAATAAAAGTGAGTCACCTGTGTATTTACCGGCAGCTGCTACTGCACCTCCTACAGTGGATTCAATTAGATATTAATAGGTGTTACGTTGCTGAGCACTGAGTCACTTCTGGTGTGTGGGTATTGTCTAATCTTTAACAGATACACAGCAAGAAGAGAAAGAGTATGGTAAGAAGCTAACCATGACTTTGAAAATGCATATTTGTTGGGACTTTATTGAATACGTTTTTTTAGTGTTTCACAGGACTTATCTGAGCTTGAGTTTCACCTCTTTTCTGATTATTTCCAAATGCTTTTCTAAGCCTTTTAAACAGATCAGAGCTTTGTAAACGTGTGTGTTAGTGTGAAAGTATTTTGGTTGCGGTGAAATCACGTCCCCTGAGTTCTGTTTGGTTTGGCTGATCTGCATCTGTGTTTGCTCAGGCTGCACTGTATTTGCTGAGTGTTTTCTGTGACATGATGTACTCTTAATGACTGAAAAGACAATACTAATCAGATACAATTATTCCTTCACATTAAGTCTGTCAACATATATCACATGTATCCATCTTTAGGGATCCAGATTTGTTTTATATAACCATATTCATATTTAATCTTTATCATTTGCATATACAAAAAAGGTGCCATTTTCATAGTATTAACATCTGTGTTTTTAAAACTTGATGGCTCTTTTATCTTCTGCAAAATTGTTTTTCATGCATAAAACAATGTGAACATTTATTTGAATAATCAACAGAAGTTGAAAATATATTTTTTAAATTCCAAACCACCAACATTAACATTGACTAATGAAAAGAGCTTTAGACACTAAAAAGGAAAAATAGAGCCAAAGAGAAAGGCATAACTTCTGTATTCTTAGCAACTTTTCTTATTTAACTCTTTATTATGAAGATGTTTTATTGTAATATTGGAAAGCAATTGTGCTATGGGAATAAGTTATAGTTTTTACTTACCTATAAGTACCTGTTTCATACCATTAAGCTTCAAGATCTATTTCCTTAAGGGGAATTTAGTAAAGAATGCAGCAACATGATTGACCTAAAAAGACAAAAATGGAACAAAATGACACCTTTTCTCATTCCTGTCAGGCCGAGCTATTATCAGGTTGTTAAGCTTTGTGAGCATACGTTTTCCCGCACTTTTTTTTTTCTTTTGTATTTTTTCAAAGCAATATTTCGTATTTTCCTCACCGAATATCCCGTTTTTCTGCTCATTATGATAGAGGTCTCCTTATATGGCTATGGCTTGGTGCAGTGTATGTGTGTGCAATTTAGAGACTGTTGTGTAAGGGATAATGTGCAGCGAGGCGGTCATTAAGGGTAAAAGAACACCCGACAGGCAGATCAGGAGTCCGACGCGAAGCGGAGGGATCTTGATCTGGAATATCCCGCTTATTACATGACTATTGCGTAAAAAGGAGGGTTTCTGCCCCGTTACTTCTCCTCTGTGTTCTTGTCCCAGTTTGAAAAGCAAACTGCATGCACTTTGCTTTTCAAACTGGGACAAGAATATAGTATACAAGTATAAGTTCAATCGACCGGACTTCTTTCTGCAGATGTAAGCGTCCTTAACAACGGTCAATAAGTCCTTGACAGCAGTCTGTACTACTGGATTAACAACGTGTCACGTGTTCTGAATTGACCAATCAGAATCGAGTATTCAACTAAACCATGTAATAATTGTGTCTTAAATCCCACTTTATCAGTGCTCTACCCTTATTGTCCTTTATTTATTCAAATGTTCCAACATAAGGCATGAACTTTAATCAGTTTCTGTTGTGGAGTGGTTTTTCCTGTTCGCCGTTAAAGGCAAAGGTGCCTGCCCTAAAACCAGTCTTTATATGAGGGTAAAACTTGAAAACATAAGCAGAATGAAGATACAGACAGAATTTTCAGGAAGTTCAGATTACTTAAATCAGGTACAAGAAGTGTCAGGATATCCGTCAATCACGCAAACAAAAAGGGGTCCAAACCCCGGGGGCAGATCAGATAACTGAGAAAATACAAACAGACCTCGGAGACCTTGGCCGTACACACCAGACAGTCTGGCAGGGAACAAGTGAGAGTGAGCGGGTGTATATACTGTGGGTCAACTGCCTACGTGCTTTTGAGCAAGGCATCTGACCCCATACCACTTCCTGGGCATTGTATACAGTATATGTAATAGCTAGCTACCTACTGTTCTATATAAGTTAATATCGTTACAGAAAAAATAAAAAAAATAAAAAAGAGTAAGCTAATATATTAAATATAGAGACAAGCACAAATTAGTAAAACATTTCGTTTTTAAATTACCTTTTTGTTGTTGTTATTACCACTTTTATTTTATTCCCCTATTACCATTTCTATCATCCAAAAACAGCACGTTAAAACTAATTTTCATCATGTTATCTATGTTAGCTAAAGATGGCACACCAATTAATGTACATTAAACTTTTAGCTTGCCCTTATTGTGCTGTTTGATCATTTGCAGGCAGTTTGATAATTGACAAGATAGACAACAAAGAGTGATTATGTATGCCTCTATGTCTGTATGATGAATCACACTTTACATTTCGTGACATCAGTCCATTTGATGAGTGCTGCACCTGTGAATGAATTACTTCCAGTAACATGCCACTGTCACCATAACACATCAGCTATTTTTGTCACAACAAATTACACTACTGTTCATCTTAAGGTGTACACTTGAGTGTGCCACTGGAAATACACACATGATTAGATTCATTTTTCTGCTTTTTTCCCCCTTGTTGTTAAAATGCTTCAATATGTTTCACACTCTTCAAATTCTGAACTCGGCTCTTAATCTTCTTAAAATTGATAAATCTTCTGTTGCTGTGCCATCCAGCAACACTGGATCTTGTTGACTCCCAGCCAACACTACTGTATGTGGGAGCGTCTCTGTCCAATGCAGTGAACTTGAAGAGGACAAGTCATTAAAGGTATGTTTACTTGAAAACAACGTGAGGTTGTGTCAAATTGTCTGTAAATAAAAACTACACTATCTATTTCACTTTTGACATGCCATAGTACAGCAGGTAGATAACATGTCACCTCACTGTTAACATTTTCCATTAGTTGGCTTTCATGAGTCTATTTGGGGGAATGGCAAATAACCAGACTGTCAGTAGTGCTCTAACTTCAGCAATAAAGCGACCTGTGATTTGAATCACGAGTAACTAATGTCACGAACAAGTAATTTAATTACACACGCAACAGAGCAACAACAGCCATCATGAAACTTGTTAATAGCTGGGCGAAGTGTTTTAACTTGTAAAACAAAAAATAACCAGTCCTCACAGATATTGCACCAATCAAATTACAGTACCAGTTTTTCCAATAGTAACCAGAAATGCACTCCCCCAGACAAATACATTTTGGAAATTCATTACATAGAAATTCATCAAATATAATGTATATAATTGATCAAAAAAAAAGTCAAACAAACACCCATATACATGTGTTGGTTTCCCAGCTAAACTTTATTTGGCTAAGTAAATATAGTTCTTCTAAAATATACCTTGTACCCACTCAAATTAAAGACATACATACACATACCACCTTCACAGTTCACTTAAAAACATGGTTCACTGAGAACTACACCTGCACACACTAGTCTGTGTTGAGTATGGCGTGAGTGTTACATGTTGTGTTTAGGTCTGTCAGTCGATTAAAATATTTAATCGCGATTAATCGCATGATTGTCCATAGTTAATCGCGATTAATCGCAAATTAATCGCACATTTTTTATCTGTTCTAAATGTACCTTAGAGGGATATTTTTCAAGTTTTTAATACTCTTATCAACATATGAGTGGACAAATATGCTTTATATGTTTGTTTATTATCATTTGAACAATGACAAATATTCTCATGAATATTAAACACAACAACCTGAACATTACAAATATTCGCCTCAATTCAACCTGGAACCTCTCTCATACAATAATACTGTGTGTGTGTGTGTGTGTGTGTGTGTGTGTGTGTGTGTGTGTGTGTGTGTGTGTGTGTGTGTGTGTGTGTGTGTGGAGACACTGTGATGGATCGTTGGAACTATGTGCCGCTCAAGGCATATGCTCGAACGTGTGCTGCCTGGACGCTGCAATCATGTTGCGCGTACTATCCGTGCTGAGTGTGCTGACTTTTCGTACAATGTCCCACTGTCTGGCTACCTGCATAAAGTCAAGTGCTCGGCGCAGTTGTCGGCGAAATGTCATTGAAACAGCTCCTTATATCCGTTAGCGCAGCTAGCTAGCACCAGATGCTAACAACAACAACACGTAAGGTGTGCCTCGCTCGCGCGAGTCGCGCCACACATACACACTCCCTCCCGGTCCTCCCGATGGCCAGTCCGGAGCGGGGCTGTCAGCATCAGCTTGTAGATGTATTTTAAACTCGATGCGCTCTGAAACTACGGGGCGGCGAGGACAAAAAATACACATGCGTTAATCGCGTTAAAATAATTAGTGGCGTTCATTTTTTTTTTGCGTTAACGCGTTATTAACGCGTTAACTTGACAGCCCTAGTTGTGTTACATGTTGTGTTACATGTTGTGATCATGGATGTTGCCCCTCGTTTCTGTTATGTGATTGTGATGTGCTATATGTGACATGTACTGTATGCGTATTGTTTATTGTTCTCTTTTATCCTCTAATCCTTTCGCCTGTATCTACTTGTCTTTCATCCTTTTTATTTTATTTTATATTTTTTTATAACTAATGCTGTTGATATATTGTGATTCTAAGGGTGTCTATTACCATCTGGCCGTGGACAACAGCTGGAAAATAGCCATGTCGGCTAAAGCTGCTCCATTTACTGTTTTTATGACAGTTCATCGATGGGGACTGTCCACGACACAATAAATAAATAAACTAAACTAAACTACATTTCTTAACATGGTGGCCAAACCCAAAGCCATGATTGGAAATGCATCTTATAGGCCTATACAGATGAATCCAATGATGTAATAAGATAATTATTTGGTTAAGAAACTCTCAACAATGTGCTTGACCTTTATTTGTTCTGTGGTATAAGAACAAGGTATAATTGTGACAGTGTTGACAATATCTATGTAATTATCTAACAATACAAACAATGTAAAGCTGGGTGGTATAATTATATAATGTTTTTTTTCTTTTCTGTCCCACTTTCTTAAAAGGAATGGCAATATTTAAGACATGCTTGTCCATCTTTGCCCTTCTCCTGACACTAACTATTTTGGAAACAGGGAACTTCATTGAATCTCCAAGTCAGGTTTTGCCGGTAGGTCAACGGTGTTTACAATACTGTACAGAAAATATGGAATCACAGCCTTCAATACACAAAGCAATTATTTGAACCTGAACCCTATCTGTTGTCTCAGGAACACAATGAAGAAGAATCATGTATACCTCACACCAGGGGGAAAAGGAGTGGTAAGTCTCATTATTAAATATGAAAGAATATTGGAATAATAACACTTTATAACTGATAGCTAGTTTAAAAGATTGAAAACATGAGAGGTGTGACTGTGCTGTCCCCGGTATATGTAGTGTATATAGCTTAACAGCCAGATAAACTCCCTCCGTACACCAAGACTCTGAAGACGTGAATCCTGTGCCTACAGGTTTATTGGTATAAGGATGGTGTGAAACTAAAATAAAAAAGACAACATGTAATCAATTCTATGATCATTTTTACATGCACAAATATGCACAATGTATATATATCAACACAGCTTTAACATGAATACAATTGCCTCGTTATATTTACTGTAAGCCTTTTAATGTATTTATTTTAATTCTAGAACTCAAACAGTTATAAATGGCATCATATTTTATATATAATCAACCATTTGTACATTTATTCATTTAACTCTCCTTGCATTAACCTTGTACAATATTGAGACATCTTGGAAGATCTCCAGCATTAAACACCACAGAATACAATATTTTCAAAAAATAATCATCTTTAATTAGGGATGGGTATAGTTAGGATTTTATCGATACCGATACTGCTTATCGATACCGGTATTTTTCGATACTCTTATCGATACTTTTCAATAATTTGGTGCTCAAAATTATAGACATGATTACAAGATGTGAAGATTAAACAACAGTCATTTTATTGTAATTTATTTTTATTTATTATTTAATGTAACTTTTTCAATGTCATACCAAGCAGGTATGAGTGTGTTTGACAGTGTGTCTCTGGAAGGGGGGCGGTAATTAGGGGCAGTTCATAAATCCATGTAAACATGACCATTATTCAGTTAAAATGAGACGCTGCGTGCGCACGTCCTAAACCGGAAGCTCCGGTCGGCTAATCATTACAGTCCGTTTATTGCGTTTATTATTTATAATGATGGATTATCAGTAATCATTTTAAAGTTACACAGAGACATTGGATTAACCGTTTTTATGCCCTTGAACACAACTTTTGATCACAAAACAGTAAAGGTAAGACTTAATTATCATCATGGCTACGTAAAGTGAAGTCGTTTTCTTGCTATTTCCTGGTTGCTAGTTCAGTGAGTTGTGGTCATACAGTGATGAGACTTATACCAATGGAAACTGTGGAATCTCAGCTTTCATGTGATATGTCGTTTGTGCAGATAACATGACGTAGAAAATATCGATTTGCCCAGTTATGGGCTAAAGCAGGGGTTCCCAACCTTTATTGTGCCAAGGACCGGCAGATACATTAAAAAAAAATCGCGGACCGGTTGTCAATTTTAACTGATTTTAATATTTACTCACCACCAGCAGGTAGCAACAGAGGCTAATTGTATGTAACAGCCTGAACAGATACTAGAACAATATGCATCCAAAACATATTAACAAAGTTAAAAAAGAACCGGTGTCATTTTTTGGTTTTTCGGAAAACCAAAAAACCGACGTTATTCAGTTTTTAAACCAAAACGGGAAAACAGATAAATTAACGTTTTGGTTTTGTTTGTATGATTTACGGATAATCCAGTGAATGCTGGGAAAACGAGGAGAAGCCGCATTATGAACACTGGCATTTGTTTTCAGAAGATATTATGATAGTGTCGTTCGTTCCGGTGCACTCCGACAGCATTAGCACTACATCGAGATTAAGATTAAACTAATTTATTTTGGGAACAGCCGCATATATGGAGTTAGCCATATGTGTGTAAATTACTGTTCATAAACATTTGAAAACAAATGCCGGTGTCGGACAGACACAAACACACCGAACACACAGAGCTGAGCTGAGCAGAGCACATACACACACACATCATGCGCCTTGGTGACTGACTGGACATCTCCTTCATAAAACTAATAAAAGGGGGAGTAATCGGGCAGTTCGATGTGTGTATAGGTGTGTGTGGTTAACACGTAGCAGCCTGCAGTCACTCTTAAACTGTGCTGATGAAGTTAAACACAGTCATACTGGTGCTGCACTTCTCAGAAGCGGAGTATACGTGCCGCTGCCTCCGGATGCTGCAGCCGTTTTAAGAAGTGAAGGAGGGTTTCCGTCTATAAAGCAGCTGCGGGTCCGAGAGTCCCGGACATTAATTCATAGATCAAGGCAGACTGGTTTACTCTTCTGTTTTGCCAATCCGGTGCTTAAACAAATAGCTCTACACCCCTGGCCGACATGTCCTTAAAATGAAGTCCGAGTTTGAAATATATCTCAAATAATGTATGCACCACCATTTCCCCACATAAACATAACAGTCTGCAATCAAACGGTTGTCTCCTGTGCGCTCCTCTTCCTACTTGGCGCACCGGTAACATGCTCGTGCGCACGAGAGGAGACCTTATAAGGCTGAGCCGCCGAATCCCTCATCATAAAAGCCATTTTCAACGGTTTTCTGGTGAAAGATTAACTAGCTACTGGATGAAATAATATGACTGGTGGCATAGGTGCGAAAATTAAACACTTTTTGAAAAAATATTATGATAAAATATTTTTATATATTTATAATTCTGCAAATATTACGATAAACTCACAGCTATTTCGCGGCCCGGCAGTAACACCTCTGCGGCCCGGTACCGGTCCGCGGACCGGGGGTTGGGAACCCCTGGGCTAAAGTAGCCGTTAGCCCCGTTAGCCCGTTTAGCTAAGTGTTGATTTAGACTCTTGGTGTTGGACTTCTGTTCCGTGTAGGTAAAATGCAGGGCCGCCCCTCCCTACAGGCAGATCACGCAGACTGCGTGGGGCCTCACCTTGCGGAGGGGGCCTCATCTTGCGGAGGGAGCCTCAACTGAGCCGCAAATGCGGCGCACCTATGCGCTTATGCGGCGCAATTAGTGTGGCGCAGCACGGTTTTCGCCGCTGCGAGGCTCCACTAGCACCCACCACCCCCCAATAACAATGCGTACATACGATGCGATCAAAGGCATGAAGACGTATGCAGATGTAGCTGGATTTCTTTACAAACAATAGCACATTGCTCACAGAGCCATGCTTTGCCTATTTCCTCTCTAATGATCACCTGACACACCCATCTGATGATGTCCTCCTGATTCTTAAAGGGACCACGACCAGGCACAATAGGCACACAAAAAGTAGCCCAGAAAATGCAAACAATACTAAACTTAGCTGTAACAGAACAGTGACTCATCTCATCGAACTCAAAAAAGTAGTTCCCCAAATACCAACTATTAAGAACTTGTATATTGTGTGTGGATGATTTAAAACAACATTCATATTTTGTTTGTATTTATTTAAATCTCTCTAGTGGCTACAAACCAATGGAATTACACGCTTGATGTTGTATTGAATGCCTCTGAAGTGGCAATAATTCAGCAGTTTCAGTCCTCTTTGAACAGTTTTCCCATACAACTTAGTAACAACACAGAGATCTCGGACATTACCTTCACAACAGGTGAGTCATTTGAGTAGCTATGTTGACCTTCTTACACCAACATATAAACACCTTTTATGCTATACTGATCACTTTTCTTTCATCAGTGTGTTCCTCGACTGCCACTGGCTTCCAGTGTAGATGTGAGGACAATTTTGCTTGGCCATACAGCACATGTGTCACGTATGGAGCCTGTGATTCCATTGTTAGTGGCATCTGTACATGCATTGATGCTATTCCAGCTGATGGACAGTCCTGCCAGGCAATATCAGGTGAACAAGTCATTACTTATTGATTTCCTTTCATTGCTATTACCAGCAGCAGCCTGGTGAAGGAAGAGCTATAGTTAGGGTCAATTCAATTCAGTAAAATTCAATGAATGTTACTTACATGTAACACTGATTTAAAGGGGCCATGAGCTGACATCTTTTTGAACGTTGACTTAAATGTGTTTTGTAAACAAATTACACATCATTTTATTTGGTTTGTTGAAAGCAATAATATTAAGTTTAGATTAAAAATAATAGGTTCAACTCAATGCCATTGGATTCAACTAACCTAATACAATTACAGTATGTGGAACCTGTTGACTTAATACATTTAATTAAAGTCAATCTTTAATTTTTTCAGTGTGTTTTGCTCATTTTCAGGTTCATATTTGTATTTAGTGTCTCTACTGTGACATGTCTCCATGCTTTAATGTTCAAAAAGCTCTTTATATTTCTCATACTGCCTGTGCTGCAGCACCTCTTTTCGCCCTCTGTCTGAAACCAGAGCCCAGTCTGCTCTGATTGGTTAGCTGGCCGGCTCTGTTGTGATTGGTTAACTGCTCAGTAAAGTTCCGGCCCTTAGCATATCACGTACAATGTGTTGGAGCGCTAGCCAATAGATGTCATCATGTCACTATGTTACAGAAGTAAACAAAGAAGATGCGTTTCAGGAAGGGTGGGGGGATGGGAGGGGGGGGGGGGGGGGAAACTCCCTCTGGAGGGCACACAGGGATTTTAGCCTTTGCAGACCAATGACATGCACAAAAACCTTTTTAACCCAAGAAAGCATACCTTTTCTTTTTGAAGGTGGCTAAAACATTTAAATAAGAGACATTCAATATTTTACATTTAGAGTGATCATTAATAGACCATTAGCTCTAAGATAGAACACATAATTAAGTATTACTTTAAATGACTACAGCTTAATTTGAGTGAATTCTCTACATTGATATGTCCTTTAACCAAAAGAGACCCTAAATCATGTTGTTTTTTTACTACAGGGCTTCTGGCTCAGGTTGAGTACGATGTGGATGTTGACCTGAATTTTACTGATATTGGGACCGTGGACGCCCTTAGAAGCATCCTGGATGCCGGTGGCTTTTCCCTAGCCTTGGGTCCAACTGTGAACGTCACACACATTACCATCACCACAGGTAAGCATGGTGGTAAAAGCACGGGGGGAAATTGTTGTTAGACAAGACAAAGGGCGCCTGGGTATTAAAGTGTACTGTGTCCTTTTTCCTAATATTTTTTCCAATTATTAATCTTATACAAGTTTCATTTTTTAGAATTCCAAGTCTGAAATACATACTGTTTACAGTATGTCCAGAGTAAGGAATGTTTGAACAGACGATTACTCCTCAGCACAATATCATCTAAAATATGTCCCATTGGACCTAAAGCCTATTCTTCCAGCAACCTGTTACCTAGAAACCAAACACCTCGTCTCAGTCCAAGGAACAGAAGTACATGGCTAATTATTAGGCAGAATGGTGTAATCAGATTGGGCCTGCCAAGAGTTTTTTATGTTGGCAAGTTTACTATGGCAAAGGGTAGAGTAGAGCAGGTCATGCCTTTCCCAACAGGAAAAATATCATGAAGGTCCATCAGTCTGCATAACAATAATCTATCTGCTTCTGTTTGTTGCGCAGGGAGGGTTTATCTTTGGAGCGAAGGGGCCTTCAAACAATAGGTGGTTGTTTTTTGGGGGTAATGTGCTGTTGGACATATTGGTTCAATGGGACATCTTTCTGACCATTAAGCTGCTTTCACATGATACACGTCGAAATGGCTCTGCGCTCACGTACTTTGAGTAGTGGTAAGACTACAAAGCATTATAACTGATTATAATGTCTCTTTAATTGTTTTTTAATGTAGTTTGTTACCCAAATGGTACAAACTTCCAGTGCAGATGTGAGGAACAGTATGTGTGGTCATTAAGCAACTGTAATACATATGGAGCCTGTGATGACATCATTGACAACACATGTGGGTGTATCAACAATATTCCTACCAATGGACAATACTGCGTGCCACAGACAGGTGATACACTTTTCCATTCAAAGTAACATCACACATATGGATATAATATTTACTGGTATTTTTTTCGGGCACTGTAATCTGTATTTGGTTATTTAACCTGTTAAGCCCTGATCCTGTTTTTCAGGTCTCAGGCTCGAAAATGACATTCCCAGAACAAATGACCATATCTTCCCTTCTAAAAGGGTTAAATTAATCATCTTTTTTCTCAAAGTAATGATAAACCTGTGAGTTGGATGTAGAAGAGTCAGAATCAATATAGATGTTTTTTATTTTAAAGAAAATTCAGATTTTACATAGTAAAAAACTGTAAATTATAGTGTCCGTCCAAAAATTCTTTTTTACTTATAGTGAAAACTACCCTTGGATGATGGGTTAGTAGACTAAAAGCTTTAGGAATCCAAAGTACAACATATAATAAGTACCCTGTATCAAGATTGATGCAAAACAAGTGACATTTGACGTTTTTAGAGAGATTTAGCAAAAAGAAACCATTTCTGGGGTCATTTGGGTGGATTTTCCATATCTCTGGCTTCCCTTGCTCGATGTTGATGGTTGACACCTCTTTCTGACCGTTAGAGCCAATAGAATCGAAGGGGGAGTCCCCCACACGACAAGATGAAAAGAATGAGGTTGATAGAAATATGAATAGCTATTCTTGACCATAATTGCATTTCACAATCTTCACTCAGCAATTTTGCCCAGATGTCATGACATGACCTAGATTTGGAACAAATTACTGACAAATAATTGTCTCTAATTCGACTCTCTTTTTCTACAGTACCTTTAGTATTTTATGAATACCAGATTATTACCGAGGTGAATACCAGCGATGTGGATCAGCTGAGAAACGTCCTGAACAGTTTAACTTTTCCTGTCCAGATCAGCTCCTCAGTTAACATATTAGATGCCAATATCACCACAGGTAAGAACAAATTCATTATATCCTTTTTTAATATCTATTTCAAACTTCTGCCTTTTTCACAAGAGAAAATATGTTATTCTCTTTAAAGTTTGCAGCCAAGATAACACTGGGTTTCAGTGCCACTGTGAAAATGACTATCTTTGGCCGTGTGATAAGTGTGACACCTATGGGAAATGTGATGGTAATACAAGCAACACATGTGGATGCATCAATGCCATTCCTCCTGATGGACAATACTGCCAGCCTGCTGATCAATACAGTAAGTTGGTTTGCAGGTTTGTTTACTTTAAGGATCATATTTCTATTTTCTGCCTCTACTGTAACATGTCTCCATGCTTTAATGTAGAAAAGCGCTTTATTTACCTCATACTGCCTGTGCTGCAGCACCTCTTTTCACCCTCTGTCTGAAACCAGAGCCCAGTCTGCTCTGATTGGTTAGCTGGCCGTTTTTGGGATTGGTCAGGCGCTTAGAGATGTGGTTGAAATGTCCCTCTGGAGGAACACAGGGATTTTAGCCTTTGCAGACCATTAACATGCACAAAAACCTATATAACACACTACAGGAAAGGGAAAACCCCAAACCACAATAGTAAGATGTAAAAATGTAAGATGACTCTTTTAAATATAATATTCAGAAATATATAGTAAGTGTTGTTCAAACTAGCGATGTCACGACATATAAGTAAGTATGTATATCATGTTAATAAACCACATTCTAATATGATGTAAATAATTCAGCGTTCTTTTTCTTTTTTTTTATTGCGAACGTTTTGAAAGTTGTGACAGCCCTAATTCAAGCTTTTAAAATGTGCATGTGACAATATACAGTAGTAACTATCTTATTAGCCTCACCCTTTATAGTTGTTTCTACTCAGCAGCAACTCCACTTTCTCTCCCATGTGACAGATTTAACAGCTTGTCCTCAGTGCAGATGTGAGAATCAGTATCGTTGGTCATGTGACCAGTGTTTACAGTATACATCCTGTGAGAACATCACTGCGATTAAAGTCACTATTCTTATATTACAGTTTTTTCTCAGAACAAAAAAAAATTCAGTTTTGGTCAGATCTAAAAGAAAAAATTCTTATGTGGCCCTAGTCCTCTTCCATACAATTATAATTATACAATTATACATATAATACAATAATATAAATTGTTATATCCAGAAAATGAAGTGAGTGATATTCAAACTTTCTGGTTATATAATAAATACAAATGATAATGTCATGTAAGCAATCCATCATTTTTCTTTTTCACTTTGGTTATGGGAACAGACTTTTCTTTATCTTTCTTGTATATCTATTTTTATTAGCAGTAAAGCAGATACAACGCACAATAATCAAATGTAAAGATAGATTCCACTAAAGCGTAATATTGTTATATTTCTTTTTTTAAATGTCTATAGGCATCATGATATTATTATCACTAATTCATTTGGTCACATTTATTGTACGATATAGCATCTTTTTATATTCTGATAGCCCTTTTTCAAGCTCTTCAAAAATGCATCATATAACAAAGAGAAGCAATTATCTAAGAACCCCTCTCTTTTACTTCTTACAGATGTTACAGCTTGTCTTCTTTTAACAACTCCATCACCAACAACTCTTCTTACAACAACTCCATCACCAACAACTCTTCCTTCAACAACTCCATCACCAACAACTCTTCCTTCAACAACTCCATCACCAACAACTCTTCCTTCAACAACTCCACCACCAACAACTCTTCCTTCAACAACTCCATCACCAACAACTCTTCCTTCAACAACTCCATCACCAACAACTCTTCTTTCAACAACTCCATCACCAACAACTCCATCACCAACAACTCCAACACCAACAAGTAAGACTTAAAAGACAATATTTCATTTATTCATTTTGAGTAGTTTGGATATTGTATATTTAACCTGTTAAACCCTGAGCCTGTTTTTCAGGTCTCAGGCTCGAAAATGACATTCCCAGAACAAATGACCATATCTTCCCTTCTAAAAGGGTTAAATTAATAATCTTTTTTCTCAAAGTAATGATAAACCTGTGAGTTGGATGTAGAAAAGTCAGAATCAATATAGATGTTTTTTATTTTAAAGAAAATTCAGATTTTACATAGTAAAAAACTGTAAATTATAGTGTCCGTCCAAAAATTATTTTTTACTTATAGTGAAAACCACCCTTGGATGATGGGTTAGTAGACTAAAAGCTTTAGGAATCCAAAGTACAACATATAATAAGTACCCTGTATCAAGATTGATGCAAAACAAGTGACATTTGACCTTTTTAGAGAGATTTAGCAAAAAAAAAACACTACTGGGGTCATTTGCGTGGATTTTCCATATCTCTGGCCCCCCTTGCTCGATTTTGACGGTTGACACCTCTTTCTGACCGTTAGAGCCAATAGAATCGAAGGGGGAGTCCCCCACACACACACGTTGTGAAGAGAAAAGGTGGGGGCTTCGCGCATGTAATTTTCAATCAGAGTGAACCTATCTCTAGCTTTGACATCTGGAAACGGAAAAGCAGTTTTAATGCTTATGGATTATCAGAAATCATTTCAAAGGGACACAGACACATTGGATTAACCTATGGATTAACTTCAGCAGCGTTTTTATCGTTTTAATGCCATTGAAGACCACTTTGGAGAGACTACAGAGCCAAGGTAAAAATGTTAGTATTTTTAGCTACCTAGCGTCACCTGTTTTGATGTCCGTTTTTGCTTATACCGTCGCAAATACGTATAATTCAGTGGTAATGTTGGTGTCAATCGATTGTGTGTCACCTCACGATGTAAAACGATGTCATGGATGTAGAGAAGAGATAAATAATAAGGTTTTGTGAGTGATTTTCGGTGCAGTAAGGTGTTAGCATTTTTCTGCTCGTTGTTAATTCAGAGGCTCAGTGTTAGCATTGTGGGTTTTCTTTTGAAAAAAAAAAAAAAAAGATCAGTTAGATGAGTTTCTTCCCGTTACATGGATATAAAACTTTGATAGTTTTATTAAATGAACATGCCCTCAGACACTGTTTCCTGCAAGATGTTGCGGCAGTGCCCCGGTACCGGGGTCTCTCGGGCTTAACAGGTTAAAAAAAGTATTTGTGTCCTTTCAATTCTCTCTCACTCAAGGTGACCTCGTATTTAATAGGCCTACTATAGGATTACAAACATGAGCAAATCTAAATGAGCAAACAGAAAATATCAAACAATATGACAAGATGAAAAGAATGAGGTTGATAGAAATATGAATAGCTATTCTTGACCATAATTGCATTTCACAATCTTCACTCAGCAATTTTGCCCAGATGTCATGACATGACCTAGATTTGGAACAAATTACTTACAAATAATTGTCTGTAATTCGACTCTCTTTCTCTACAGTACCTTTAGTATTTTATGAATACCAGATTATTACCGAGGTGAATACCAGCGATGTGGATCAGCTGAGAAACGTCCTGAACAGTTTAACTTTTCCTGTCCAGATCAGCTCCTCAGTTAACATATTAGATGCCAATATCACCACAGGTAAGAACAAATTCATTATATCCTTTTTTAATATCTATTTCAAACTTCTGCCTTTTTCACAAGAGAAAATATGTTATTCTCTTTAAAGTTTGCAGCCAAGATAACACTGGGTTTCAGTGCCACTGTGAAAATGACTATCTTTGGCCGTGTGATAAGTGTGACACCTATGGGAAATGTGATGGTAATACAAGCAACACATGTGGATGCATCAATGCCATTCCTCCTGATGGACAATACTGCCAGCCTGCTGATCAATACAGTAAGTTGGTTTGCAGGTTTGTTTACTTTAAGGATCATATTTCGATTTTCTGCCTCTACTGTAACATGTCTCCATGCTTTAATGTAGAAAAGCGCTTTATTTACCTCATACTGCCTGTGCTGCAGCACCTCTTTTCACCCTCTGTCTGAAACCAGAGCCCAGTCTGCTCTGATTGGTTAGCTGGCCGTTTTTGGGATTGGTCAGGCGCTTAGAGATGTGGTTGAAATGTCCCGCCCCTAAGCGGGTTGCGAGTGTGTGGGAGAGAAACTCCCTCTGGAGAAACACAGGGATTTTAGCCTTTGCAGACCATTAACATGCACAAAAACCTATATAACACACTACAGGAAAGGGAAAACCCCAAACCACAATAGTGAGATGTAAAAATGTAAGATGACTCTTTTAAATATAATATTCAGAAATATATAGTAAGTTTTGTTCAAACTAGCGATGTCACGACATATAAGTAAGTATGTATATCATGTTAATAAACCACATTATAATATGATGTAAATCATTTTAATTTTTTTATATATTTATTTATTTTTATTGCGAAAGTTGTGAAAGTTGTGACAGCCCTAATTTAAGCTTTTAAAATGTGCGTGTGACAATATACAGTAGTAACTATCTTATTAGTCTCACCCTTTATAGTTGTTTCTACTACAGTTCTCTATCAGATAGACGGTTCGGCCACACGAGGCCGACATGGAAACGCAGAAAACGATAACGATAACGGGTCCCAAGGTGGGTTGATCTGCGGAAGAAACGCTCTGGGGGGGCAAACGGCTCCGTGATTACGCCCTATAACGATAATTTCCTGCTAACGATGACGCCATAGCCCCAGTGTTTCGAGCCAGGTCCCAGTATCTCGCAGGACAGTGCACCCAGCAGGAGCTTCCAGCTAGATTTGATCGATATGGACATAAACGCGAGAGAAGTCTAATCGGACAGGAGAGGAGACACGCAGCTCTGCATGATAACCTGCAGCTCCGCCCTCTGTGATGGAGCGATGAGCGGAACAAAACACACACTTCAAGTTAGATCATCACCCTTAGCTATTTTAATTACCTCTCAAACTACCTAAACTAGCTACAAATATGTTTATTTTGACTGTCGGGTCACTCATTACTGGATCAGCCAGCTGCATGAGACCACGGATACTGATGGGCTGTCAGGAGAGGGGGAGGAAAAGAGAGGCTCCGTCCTCCGTGTATTATTCTTATATTATTATATAGAGTCGTTATTAATTTGTTTTAAAGCTCAATAAATAACAAAGAAGACCTTTGACCGGCACTTTTCTAATTTTGTCCGGAAGATTTAAACTTTAACGGACATGTTGACCGGCGAAACCCCACCTCTGCTGCTAAATCCAGCGCGGAGAATAAACAGAAGGGCAACCATGGCAACCATGCATGCGCGAGAAGTCTTCTTCGCTGCTTTTGGTGTATTTTGTGGCAGAAGTACAGCGCCACTTACAGGCCCGGCATATGTACTACAGCGTCTCCAGCGCTTTCGAGCGGTCTCGTGTGAACGTACACGTTTCTGGTGCCTATTGCGTGTGGACAGAAGACTTTTTTTATAACGATTCGGTTTCCGTTATCGTCCTCGTGTGGCTGCAGCCTAAGATGACTCGACTCTTTTAAATTGTTATATCCAGAAAATGAAGTGAGTGATATTCAAACTTTCTGGTTATATAATAAATACAAATGATAATGTCATGTAAGCAATCCATCATTTTTCTTTTTCCCTTTGGTTATGGGCAGGGGCGCCGCCAGGGATTTTGGGCCCCATGAAAATATATCACAATTGGTTACTTAAACATTTTTTTCTTGATGTTCTAAAATTGTTTGGGCCCCTGTCAGTCACGGGCCCTTAGAATTATCCTAACTTTTCACCCCCTTACGGCGCCCCTGGTTATGGGAACAGACTTTTCTTTATCTTTCTTGTATATCTATTTTTATTAGCAGTAAAGCAGATACAACGCACAATAATCAAATGTAAAGATAGATTCCACTAAAGCGTAATATTGTTATATTTCTTTTTTTAAATGTCTATAGGTATCATGATATTATTATCACTAATTTATTTGGTCACATTTATTTTACAGTATAACATCTTTTTATATTCTGATAGCCCTTTTTCAAGCTCTTAAAATATGCATCATATAACAACGAGAAGCAATTATCTAAGAACTCCTCTCTTTTACTTCTTACAGATGTTACAGCTTGTCCTCTTTTAACAACTCCATCACCAACAACTCCATCACCAACAACTCTTCCTTCAACAACTCCATCACCAACAACTCTTACTTCAACAACTCCATCACCAACAACTCTTCCTTCAACAACTCCATCACCAACAACTCTTCCTTCAACAACTCCATCACAAACAACTCTTCCTTCAACAACTCCATCACCAACAACTCTTCCTTCAACAACTCCATCACCAACAAGTAAGACTTAAAGGACAGTATTTTATAAAACAAAAACCAAATGATAATATTATTTACAAGTGAGACATCAACTGTATTTGTTTTTCTTTCAAATGCTCTCCCTGCAGCTCCTCCTATTCTCTTTGAATACATCATCTTGGCTGAGTTGAGCACCACAGATGTCACTCTAATAAATCAACTGAGTACCATTCTGAGAAGCATCCGTTACCCCTTTATCCTCAACAACGCACAAATCCTTGATGTAAACATTTCTACAGGTGCAGATACAATACTGTAAATAAGTGAAATATGTGTTGGTGTTGTCAACCCTAAGTGTGAATCTACAAGTTGTAAAACACACTTTACTAATATGACAGTTAGAAAAACTCATTACATGTGTGAAATTCATTGTGTTTTTGTTTGGTCTCCAGTTTGCTCTCCGAGCAGTTCTGGTTACCAGTGCAGATGTGAGGATCAGTATCGTTGGTCATGTGACCAGTGTTTACTGTATACATCCTGTGACAACATCACTGGGGACACATGTGGATGCATCAATGCCATTCCTCCTGATGGACAATACTGCCAGCCTTCTGGTCAAAACAGTAAGTTGGTCCGCAGTAATCACTGCATTCTGGCCAGCATTTGATGTGCCTTATTGTCAAAGTCTTTATCCTTAATTGCATGACAATCCCTGTGTCTCACTATGTAATTGCTTGCTTTTGGGTTGTCGAAAGACAGGAGCTGGCCTGAGTCAGAAGGACAACTTTGGAAACACTGCCATATGTTGTAGAGAATCTATAATTGTATTTTATTGTTTTTAACTCAAATGTACGTAAAAAGGATTAGGGCCACTTATGATGACCAAAAGTGATGTTTTTGTTTGTGCCGGTAGTCCCAATTATGATATTCAACTTTTTTTCTCAAACTAAAACGAAAATCACCTTTGGGTCACATTAATCGTACAGTATGGGGAATTTCAAACATTCTGATAGCTCTAGTTCTTAAAATATGCATCTTATCATATGCAGAAGCAATTAACTAAGAAATCATCTCTCTTTTACTTCTTACAGCCTTTACCCTTTGTCCTCTTACAACAACTCCATCACCAACAACTCTTCCTTCAACAACTCCATCACCAACAACTCTTCCTTCAACAACTCCATCACCAACAACTCTTCCTTCAACAACTCCATCACCAACAACTCTTCCTACAACAACTCCATCACCAACAACTCTTCTTACAACAACTCCATCACCAACAACTCTTCCTTCAATAACTCCATCACCAACAACTCTTCCTACAACAACTCCATCACCAAGAACTCTTCCTTCAACAACTCCATCACCAACAACTCTTCCTTCAACAAGTAAGACTTAAAAGACAGTATTTAATTTATTCATTTTGAGCAGTTTGGATATTGTATCTTTAAGTTACAACATCTTCTTGTTTAATAGCGATTGTCTCAAAATGGCGCTATGGTAATGGCATTCCATATTATAGTAATAGTATGTAATCCCCAATTAAATAGGAACTCTCTGCTGAGTGCAATGATGCTTTCCACAACAGTCTGGCAAACGGTTCATGATATGTAAGGGGGCGTGGCAAAAGTGTGGGGGCGGGGCACATCATTACTAATGCAACAGGAACTCACTGTCTACGACAATGGGTTCATGGTTAATTTGTTATGAAAGGGTTTGGGGAAAACCAACGATAGGTATCTGACTTCACCATGTTGGCAGATATTTTCTTAGTTGAATTGTCAGATTCATTCTTCAGCTTAACAAAAATGATTGTAAAATTGTGTTTTTAGTCTCAACAACAGTCACTACGACCCGGGTGAACACTCCAACACCCACAATGTCAGCAAAAACAAGTGCAAAATAACAATTGTTAGATTACTTTTCCGTGTTGTTGGTTATCGTCTAAATTGACTTGTCAAACAATGGGTATGATGTTATTCTTTCAGACTGAACAACCGTTGCTTCAATTGGTATAAACTCCACACAAACTTATTTAAATTCAGCTGAGTTGAGTGTGTCCATGATGAAGATTGTTGAGATTATTAAGAATGTATATGCTCGAGATGAACAGTGACTGAGGACCTGTAGGGTTTGATCAGAATAACTCGAACAGTGTTCTAAGGAAATGCTTGAATTGCTGTTGACTTGTTCTCAATGCATTAGGCCATTATTCCTGTTTTGGTAAGAACAAATGGGTTTGAGGTTATATCAACAATGGGGGACATGTGCCTGAGCTTAGAGAACAGATGCAAAGGCTGAAAAGGTCAGAAGTGAGTGGTAGTTGTGTAACGTTAAGAGCAGGTGCCTGTTTTTGTAAGCTTTTGGTAAACAGCGAAACATGGGAATGGGAAGTAAAAAGACAGTGTTGGCCAGTGACTAGTTTAATGGTAGGACTGGTATGGGATGGAGATCCGATTCTGGGACTTGTCTGATATTCTGGAAAGAGAAACAATACAATGAATCAGCAATGATGTGGTGGTAACCAGAAATGTGGGATGCCCAAAGAATGAAATGAAGCTCAGCGCAAGTTCAATCAGGAAGACCAAGCTCTTCATTCAGATTACACGTCACCACATTACACTCTCCTTCCTCATTAAGTGATCGGGGGCGTCACTCCCCAGCTAACGAATCTCTCCTCTCTCCATTCTCACAAGCCTATCATAGCTCCCGCTAATCCCTTTATATTTGCTCTTCCCTCTGTCAGCTGTCATTTCAGGTGACAAAACGCAACCCTCCTCCACCCCTTTCGCCTCCCATCTCCTTTAGGACCAAGCTAAACCTTCTCCCTTCAGTCTGTTCCCACCTACTTATCACCACCACCAATGTCTAGACCCCGGGGGTTTCATCGGAGCGGTTCTTCCCCCTCCTGAATTATTATCCTGCAAACTGGGGCCTAATCTCCAAACACCATTTCATTCTCCTCTTATAATTGTGGCAATCATTATTTCATTCATATTATGTGTCCCGGTAATAAATATGTATTCCATACATCAACGTCTCTCCTGATTGAACTGGTGTTGAGCTGAGATTCAAGTAAGTCTGCGCGGGAGCTGCATGATGTCTAAAGAACAAGATATATATATTTTAAGGATCTACATGAAGGATCAATGTGTGTTTTCTGTGTGGACGAGTATGGATTTCCTAGACCACCAAAGAACAACAGCTATAAAAATGGCTTCTAACACATGGAGCAAATATAAAGACAAGCGGGCCTGTGAGGCGAGATCAATATCCTCAGGTTTGGCGATAAAGAGCTCGTAGAAGAAGGAGATGCAATTCCAAGACAACAAATCTTGCCAAAGACACTTTTCCATCTTGCATGCATCTTCCAGAACAACTCTATTGTAGAGTTAGGGTGGGCTGCAGCTTTATGCAGGTCGGACAGGAAGGATTTTGCATGAGGAATGGCAAATGGCATAATTGATGTAACCAAGGAGGGCTACAAGCTTGCATTTGCTGCACCTGTCAGCCAGCAGATAGTTTGACAGAATCAAAGTCTGATGTAACGATAGTGGAATGACAAAAAGACTGTGATGATGCTTGAGGGCATGATTCAAGTCTGTCGTCGAGTAATTCAAGATGGTGCTCAGATGTGTTGGTAGGGTTCACAGGTGATCATTGCTGTTTTTAAGGCTTGGCCCTGCTCTTGAACCTAAATGTACGAATGATCTACTTGACTTGTTAAGGTGTGTATTCTTCAGCTTAACCAACATAATTATGAAATGGTCTTTTCAGACTCAACAATGGCTGCTACAACAGTTGTGACCAATACAACAACCACAATGTCTCCAACAACCACAATGTCTCCAACAACCACACTGTCTCCAACAACCACACTGTCTCCAACAACAGGTAAGGGAAATATACCAATTGTTACATTACATAATGATACATATTCAGGATTTATTATTATCATTATTAAGCTGTTATTAAAACAATTCAGTTAGTCTTTAAGTTTCAGTGATGTTAAATGCTTGTCCAGTATTTATGTATTCAACATTTTGTATTGGCAAAAACCTTCTGGGAAACATATTGTTTGAAACTATTAAGTCATCTCTCCTAATGGGAGAGCTGAACGTACAAGTTGTATTTATCTTTTTTCAGATCCAAAAAAAGTGTTAAAATGTTTAACAAGTTTAATCAGAATATTTGGAATCCTGAGTCATCAGAATAAAATAAAATTGAATTGATTAATTGACTCAACTTCTATTGACAAAACACATCTTAACACTGCAACACCTAACCTAATCCAGGAATATTTCCAATGAACTTCTTGCTTATAACAATGTAGTCACACCATTGTATATTGTATTTGAGATACACATACTTTCGGTGCAGTTTAAATATCTTAAAGCAAGTGATGAAGGCTATAATAACTCGACTCATACTGTCAACAGTAACACACTTTTATAAAATAGTCTTTCAAACGCCAACATCTCTTTCAACCACCATCATTACCTGTTTTTAGCAATAAGCGTTTCGATAACTCGTCCCTGGTTGTTATTTGTAGAACATTTTCTGTAATTCACTTTCACGTAAGGTATTTCCCTCTACAGATGATCTTACTTTATTACAGTTAAAAATAACAAAGCAACCAAAATAACAAAGCAGACGAAATTGAAGAAACAAAATATTTTTACAATACTCATAACTCAACCAACAACTAGTGTGACCAGCCAAAATACCACCCTTAGCTCCACATCAGACGTTACCTCGACCCCAGCTCCAACCACAGCACTCATAACTGCTGCTACTACCTGTCACGATCTGTCTGTGTTGTGTTTTGTCTTGTCTTTTTCTGTCTCTGGTTTCCTGTTTTGTTTTGAAATGTTTTCCTCCTTGTGTCTTCTCTGTTCCTTCTTCCTGTGTTTGCCTTCCTGTCTTAGTTTCCCTGGTGTGTCTGATTGTTTGATTGTGTTCACCTGTTGCCCTTGTGTTTCTGCCTCCCTTACCCCAGCTGTGTCTTGTCTTGTGATTACCCCTCTTTGTATTTAGTATTGTCTTCCCCTGTGTGCCTTGTCGGTTCACTGGTTCTCCTGTCTCCCACCATGTTGGTCACGGTCAGTTTTTGTAGTACCTATGTGTTTCATGCCATGTTTTTGTTCAGCTTTTGGAATAAAGCTCGCTTTTGTTTCTAGACCTTTTTACCTTGTTTTGTAGTCTGCATTTGGGTCCTACCCTTTCCACGCATCCTAACAGCATGAACCGACCAAATATGGACCCAGCGGATTTTGAAGATTTTAAGGTAGATCTGTTCGATCTAGACTTTTCCCTTCAATGTTATTATGTCGAGTGGAGTGGAACCTCGTCAAGAAGGGACAAAGAGGCTATCCTCAAGAAGGCACAGATGGAGGTGTCTAACATGCCATGGCTGAGGAGCTCGTTGCCTGAATGGCTCAGAGTATTTTTACGTAGCCCCGAGTGCCAGTCTCCATCCTCTGACCCTTTTTTGGGATCCCGTCTGGCGTTTGGAGGTCCACGGAGCCTCCAAAAGACCTCAAAGAAACGCAAGGTCAGGAAGCCAGCTCGTAATCCAGTACCGGCCCACACAGCCATGGATCCGTGCACCAGTACCGGCCCACACAGCCATGCTTCCGTGTTCGATTACCTGGCTCACACAGCCAGGGTCCAGGCTTCTGTTCCGTGCCCAGCAGCCATGGTCACTGCTCCAGAACCGGACCTTACAGTCATGTTTCCGTGTTCCAGTGCCGGCCCACACAGTCATGGTACCGTGCTCCAGTACCATCCCACACAGCCATGGTTCCGTGTTCCGGTTCCGTGCCCAGCAGCCATGGCGCCTGCTCCAGTACCGGCTCACACAGTCATGGTTCCGGCTCCAGAACCGGCCCACACAGCCATGGTTCCGGCCCCAGTTCTGGCCCCAGCAGCCATGGTTCCGGCCCCAGTTCTGGCCCCAGCAGCCATGGTTCCGGCCCCAGTTCTGACCCCAGCAGCCATGGTTCCGACCCCAGTTCCGGCCCCAGCAGCCATGGTTCCGGCCCCAGTTCCGGCCCCAGCAGCCATGGTTCCGGCCCCAGTTCCGGCCCCAGCAGCCATGGTTCCGGCTTCAGTTTCGGCTCCAGTGTTGGCTCTCCGGCCGACGCCACCCCCCGTGTTTTGTCAGTGGTTCGGCCCACTCCAGCCCCTCGTGTCCTGTTGGCTCTCCGGCCGACGCCTACCCCATGTCCTGTACCGTTGGAGGTCCCGCCGACTACTCTTCTGCCGGGGGTCCTGCCAACCCTATATCCTGTAATGTTGGAGGTCCCGCCGACTACTCTCCTGCCGGGGGTCCTGCCAACCCTATGTCCTGTGATGTTGGAGGTCCCGCCGACTACTCTTTTGCCGGGGGTCCTGCCAACCCTATGTCCTGTGATGTTGGAGGTCCCGCCGACTACTCTCCTGCCGGGGGTCCTGCCAACCCTATGTCCTGTGATGTTGGAGGTCCCACCGACTACTCTTCTGCCGGGGGTCCTGCCAACCCTATGTCCTGTGATGTTGGAGGTCCCGCCGACTACTCTCCTGCCGGGGGTCCTGCCAACCCTATGTCCTGTGATGTTGGAGGTCCCGCCGACTACTCTCCTGCCGGGGGTCTTGCCAACCCTATGTCCTGTGCCGTTGGGGGTTCCGCTGAGGGTCCTGCCAACTCCACGTCCAGTGTCGTTGGGGGTCCTGCCGACCCCATGCCCTGTCCCGTTGGGGGTTCCGCTGAGGGTCCTGCCAACTCCACGTCCAGTATCGTTGGGGGTCCCGTTGGGGGTCCCGCCGACTACTGCTCCGCCGGGTTTCCTGCCAACACCAGATCCTGTCCTGTTGGGGGTCCCGCCGACACCTGCTCCGCCAGATTTCCTGCCTACATCATATCCTGTCCTGTTGGAGGTCCCGCCGACACCTGTTCCACCGGGGGTCCTGCCAACTCTGTGTCCTGTTCCGTTGGGGGTCCAGTCGACACCAGCCCTTGCTCCATCCGGGGTCCCATTGACACCAGCCCATGTCATGTTCAGGACCCCGTCTACGCCTGTCCCGTCGGCTCCGGTTCCTGTCCGGCCGATACTGGGTCCTGCCCGTCCTCCGGAGCTGTCCCGTCAGCGCCTTCCTGCTTGTCCTCCGGAGCTGTCTCGTCGCCGCCTTCTTGTTCGCCCTCGAGCCCGGCCCCCTGAGTGCCGCAGTCTTCGCCCTCGAGCCCGGCCTCCTAAGTTCTCCAGCCGCGGTCTTCGCCCTCGGGCTCGGCCCCCTGATTCTTCCAGCCGCTGCCTTCGCCCTCGAGCCCGGCCCCCTGAGAGCCGCTGCCTTTGCCCTCATGCCCGGCCCCCTGAGTTCGCCCGCTGTGGCCTTCGCCCCTTTTTGGACTCTGCCTTGCCCCCGGGCCGTCCGCCCGGGACCCCTTCCGGGCCCGTCCTCCGGACCCCCTCCACCCACCCTTTTGGAAATGTTGGACTATGTTTTTTGGGACGTCTGGGATCCGTCCCTTGAGGGGGGGGTTATGTCACGATCTGTCTGTGTTGTGTTTTGTCTTGTCTTTTTCTGTCTCTGGTTTCCTGTTTTGTTTTGAAATGTTTTCCTCCTTGTGTCTTCTCTGTTCCTTCTTCCTGTGTTTGCCTTCCTGTCTTAGTTTCCCTGGTGTGTCTGATTGTTTGATTGTGTTCACCTGTTGCCCTTGTGTTTCTGCCTCCCTTACCCCAGCTGTGTCTTGTCTTGTGATTACCCCTCTTTGTATTTAGTCTTGTCTTCCCCTGTGTGCCTTGTCGGTTCACTGTTTCTCCTGTCTCCCACCATGTTGGTCACGGTCAGTTTTTGTAGTACCTATGTGTTTCATGCCATGTTTTTGTTCAGCTTTTGGAATAAAGCTCGCTTTTGTTTCTAGACCTTTTTACCTTGTTTTGTAGTCTGCATTTGGGTCCTACCCTTTCCACGCATCCTAACACTACCAAGGCTACACCTGCAGTAACAACGACGACTGCTCCTGGGAAAGGTCTTTTTTATTGACAGAAATGTAGTTATCAGGCTCTATGTAGCTCATTGCTTTATAACATCTCCATTACCTTTTTTTGGTAAATACATATAGATTTTTGTCTTTTCCCCTTGGTCACCAAGACTTGAAAGAAACTATTTTCTGAAGTCAAGAGTCTTGTAAACTACTTTTCACTGTGGGTTTTGAATATATTTCTGAGTGATAGTATTCATGTGACATCCCTGCAGCCTACATATGCTGATAGCTAAGCTTGTCTTAAGTTATGATATTACTTTATAATGCAATTTTTAAAAAGCATCTATACAAAAAAAGCACAGGCGAGCCAAACGTGAAAAAAGGGCTTTGACCTAAGAGTGTAAATGGACGTATGTCATTCATTCAAAAATTAATTGATGAATTATAAATTGCAGTTCTGCTTGAATATAGGTCAAGCTATTTAATTGCTACCTTCCACATGACATCTCAACACTGTTGCTGAAAAGGATATTTGCATTTGATAGAGACATGGGTTTTATACCCTTGATCTGCAAGTCATGCAAACCAAATTAAAAAATGATTCACAATTGTGTCCTCTCCTCATGTCTAGCTAGTATATTCTTTAAATCACAACAAACTGAATTGTTTGATCTTGTTTTTATTCTCTTTTCAAATAAATAGGGTTCAATTTGGAAATGACAGTGCAATTAAACAAGACGTTCACAGAAGATTTGAAAGATCCAACAAGTGTTGCATACAACAATCTTAAAGACAGCATGGAAGCAGTGGTAAGTGCATTGATAAATACCATATCAAATTGTAACCTGTATTTTCAGTTGAATTGGTAATGTTATGAACCGTATCTCTCCCACAGTTAAACAAGCAGTATGGAGGAATCACAGGCTTTATTAGTGTTTCTGTGACAGGATTCAGGTATGGTAATTCTGGCATTTAAGACATATGGAGGCAGGAAATCTGTACACATTTGACACCACCATTTTGTTTTGTGTTTGTTCTTACAGAGAAGGAAGCATATTTACAGATTTTGTTGTTGAGACTACAGAGGTTAAAAATGAAGAATTGGCTGAAGCAAATAAAGCATTTTCAAAAGCAGTAAACTCTACTATTGCCCCTGTCATTGGCTCTGTCACTGCATTGTACAACAGTAAGTCCAACATAGCTAGTATAGGTAATTACATTTTGTTTAACTTGTATAAATACCAAACTGATGTGTTTTTCTTTCTCCAAAGGTGAAAAGGAATTAGGGATTACCGCCGCAAACTATACTGGAAATAACATGACACTCGTGTGCGACCCCAGCATTAATGTAGAAGACTTAAGAAAGTCCGAGTGGACATTTCGTGGAAGGGTAATTAAGCAGGCTGGAAAGAGAAAAATAACAAATTCTAACACAAGGTCTGTTCTAAGAATAGAGAAAGCCAATGCTGTGGATATTGGTAAGCAAAAGCTAGTAAAATAACAGCTTTTTTTAATTGATGCTAATAGACAAATTAATTTGCTGCTTGGACTGGAATGTTCACTATTTAATATACTAATGGTATCACTCTTTTAACTTTTTTTTACAGCATACCAATGTAATCATTGTTTTTATTATCTTAATCACAGGACTTTACCAATGCACTCTGATGGGCGACGTATTGCAGTTCAGACAAAAAAGGAACGTGATTGGAGATGATATCCAAGAAGCTCCCATCATAGTATCAAAGCGTCAAATAAACATTGAATGTCTGGAGGGACAAACAGTACCACTTAAGTGTTGTGTGCAGTCCCCTTTTAAGGTGAAGTGGTTTAGAGGCTCACCTCCTCCTATTGGCTCACTTACTCCTATTGGTAAGTTTAAAATGTTTCAGAAAACTTCTCAATCTGACCATACTGAAAACACACCTCCAATAACAGTTTATTTTATTAACAACACTGTTAAATGTTTGCAGGATCTACTGTTACTGGAAATGGAAACCCATTCTGTCGCACGTATGAATACACGCTAGGAGACTGCAGTGAACCAACGTCACTAGCATTTACTTGTAAGGTCGATGATCTCGATTATAGCCGGGTAACAACATTGACAATTTCCGAAGAACGTAAGTGCAATGTTTCAAAAGTGACTATGCTTTTCTTTTGCAGTCTTTTTCCTCAATATTTTGTGTAATACTAATTGATTATTATTTATCTCCTAAGCTTTTACATGTAAAGACGCTGATTATGAGGAAGGACGAGAAGGCGAACAATCTAGTACAGAATGTCCTCCAGGTCAAGAGGGGGAAAAGATTGCGAAGTGTGATGATGGCAAGTGGATATTGGTAGAGAACACTTGCGTTATCAAAGTAATCAAGAAGTTGCTTGATTTTTCAGAGGTAAGTGATCAGCTGGGGATAGCAATTCATCCCCATTTTAAATCTATAAAACACACAGTATACCATAAAGTTATTAAAAAAACGGTCCTTTGTTCACTAGTTCTACGTAACCATATATTCCATGTTGTGCAACAATTGTATGTAGGAACAATTTTCTTTCTAACAAACTACACCTGTCAACTCTGAGACACCATCTGTTCAACAAAAGCATGAAGAAAATCTAAACGTCATGTTTCTTATAAATCAACTCAACAGCAGAAATCATTACCAGTTGCTCAAGATAATCCACTGACCTTGTGAGAAGTTTCATTTAGTGTGTATTTTATTTAATCTGAAGTACATTCGCGTGAGAAAGTGAGAAAAAATGAACCGAGCTAATTTGTTATAATATTTTGTATTGTTGTAAAAGACCCACGTTTTCGACCAACATCGGCACATTACATCACGGCTTCTGCTGTCCAGTAACTTCTTGTAACTAACTGACCACTGTTTTTATATAAAGTGTGGCTCTGCAACAACACTTCTTTAATCTTTAACCTGTTAAGCACCAAGCCTGTTTTTCATGTTTCAGGCTCGAAAATGACATGCCCAAAACAAATGACTACAACTTAACTTCTAAAAGGGTTATATGAATAATTTATTTTCTCAAAGTAATGATAAACCTGTGAGTTGGATGTAGAAAAGTCAGAATCAATATAGATGTTTTTTATTTTAAAGAAAATTCAGATTTTACATAGTAAAAAACTGGAAATGATAGTGTCCGTCCAAAAATTCTTTTTTACTTATAGTGAAAACTACCCTTGGATGATGGGTTAGTAGACTAAAAGCTTTAGGAATCCAAAGTACAACATATAATAAGTACCCTGTATCAAGATTGATGCAAAACAAGTGACATTTGACCTTTTTAGAGAGGTTTAGCCAAAAACACTCCACCTCTGAGGTGATTTGGGTGAAAATTGTTTTTTTTTCATATCTCTGGAACCCATTGGTCGATTTTGATGGTTGACACCTCTTTCTGACCGTTAGAGCCAATAGAATCGAAGGGGGAGTCCCCCACACACACTCATTGTGAAAGAAAAATGTGAGGGCTTTGCGCATGCAGTTTTGCATTAGAGTGAAGCTACAGTCTAGCTCTGACATCTAGAAACCTAAAAGCATGGATTATCCGTCTGTTTGCTCATGGATTATCAGAAATCATTTCAAAGGGACACAGACACATTGGATTAACCTATGGATTAACTTCAGCAGCGTTTTTATTGTTTTAATGCCATTGAAGACCACTTTGGAGAGACTACAGAGCCAAGGTAAAAATGTTAGCATTTTTAGCTAACTAGCGTCACCTGTTTTGATGTCCGTTTTTGCTTATAACGTCGCCATTTCGTATAATTCAGTGATAATGAGGGTACCCATCGATTCTGTGTTACCTCACGATGTGAAACGATGTCATGGATGTAGAGAAAAGATAAATAATAAGGTTTTGTGAGTGATTTCCGGTGCAGTAAGGTGTTAGCATTTTTAGCTCGTTGCTAATTCAGAAGCTCAGTGTTAGCATTGTGGGTTTTCTTTTGAAAAAAAAAAAAAAAGATCAGTTAGATGAGTTTCTTCCCGTTACATGGATATAAAACATTCATAGTTTTATTAAATGAACATGCCCTCAGACACTGTTTCCTGCAAGATGTTGGTGGCAGTGCCCTGATACCGGGGTCTCTCGGGCTTAACAGGTTAATATGGGATAGGTCTCCAAATGGTAGTACCCTGTATCAAAGCACACGGCCATCCCTCACACAATCACATTCTTCTAGCCTCTTCTGTATTTTTGTGGCTTAAAATGTGCAGCTGTTGCCAGAAAAGAAACATCTCTGTATTTGTCATGGTTTACAATCTCTCATTATATAAATGTATGTGTTTTTAATATTTACTTTAGGTGTTGCTGGTGCAAGATGTCCCCGATTTTGTGGGGAATCTGAGTGCAGAGGTCGAAAAGGTGCAGAAGGCAGTAAGAGAGTCACCTAATACCATATCAACTATCGTGGACATCCTGGGCAACATTGCAGATATTGATACTCTGGTAGTCAATCAACCTGTCATAAGGGTAGGTTAAACCTTCCCATCAGCATTATCTTAGTTTAGATATGTCTTTTATGTCAACAAATATGTGAACTGCTCTATTGAAACCAGTCGGATGTCGCAACGGCGCATTGCAATTGGGGTTTTGGTTGATTCTAAAAAAACAATGTCTTGGCTTCAAGAATATCAATCTTTTATATCACATTTATACAATAAATACATTACCCCCCTCGGAAAATACATATATATTCGGAAAGCTAAGAATCTCCTCTTTCCAGTTATGTACATAACTCAAAATGTGTATCGGAGTCGATGTGACTGATTTTTATAGAGCAGTTCACGTATATTTTTTTGATGCGAATGTAACCTCACAATGAAATCTCTCTTCATCTGCAGAGTGTCCTTCAAACAGTTGATTTCATTATTGGTGAGGATTCAAGAGAGTCCTGGACATTTCTGAATGCAAACGAAAGCAACAACGCAAGCTCTGATTTACTGGGTTCGATGGAACTCCTCTCTGATAAAATAAATGGGACATTTACCTTTGAGACTGCTGCAATCCTCTTCGACAGAAGCACCTTTGACCCTGACCTTATCTCGTTCTCCGCAAATCTGAACAGCAGCGTTGTCCTGAACATTTCTAACAACGGCTTTAGCAACGCCTCTATCACCACTATTACTTTCTTCACCCTAAATAATGTTATGCCAGTACGGAACTCCAGCTTTAACACCAGCCTCTTCAACACCAATAACACTGACCCCGTTAATGCCCTCAACGCAGCTGTGGTGCTGATCAAAGTAAATGAAACAATTCGGAACGTTACTTTAAGCTACACCAAGTTAAACACGACTCTGACGCAAGATCCTCAGTGTGTCTTCTGGAACTTTAAACTGTTTGACAACAGGGGGGCTTGGGATAGTGAAGGGTGTGAGTTTGTTTCCGATATAAATGACACAGTAACCTGCAGATGCGACCATCTCACCTCATTTTCAATTCTGATGTCAACTGGTATCCCTAAAGAATTCAAAGAACTCTTGGATCTAATCACCTACATTGGAGTTGGGATCTCTTTGGCAAGTTTAGTTATATGTTTAATTATTGAAGGATACGTTTGGAAAGCCATAACTAAAAATAGCACTGCCTTCATGCGTCATGTTTCCATCATTAACACTGCCCTCTCTCTGTTGATCGCTGACATCTGTTTTATCATTGGAGCCTACATTGCCGACAACCCAGCTGAAAACCCGGAGAACAAGAACTTTAATGTTCCAGTTGAGTCTTGTAGCACAGCAACATTTTTTATGCACTTGTTTTACCTTGCGGTGTTCTTTTGGATGCTAGTTTCAGGCCTTCTGCTATTTTACCGGACAGTCATGGTCTTCTCCCACATGTCCAAGTCAGTCATGTTGGCTATTGGCTTCTTATTAGGCTACGGGTGCCCTCTGATCATAGCTGTTGTTACTGTTGCCGCCACAGCACCAGGAGAAGGATACATCAGGAGAAAAGAGGCTTGTTGGCTTAACTGGGAGCAAACAAGGGCCCTGTTGGCGTTTGTGATACCTGCCTTATCTATAGTTTGTATCAACATAATTATCGTAATCGTGGTCTTGTTCAAAATGCTAAGAAGAGGCGTGGGAGACGCCGGCCAAAGAGAGGAAAGGCATACGCTGGTTGTCATTCTAAGGTGTGTGGCCATTTTGACTCCTTTATTTGGACTGACCTGGTCTTTAGGAGTGGGGACCATGCTAGATTCGACAAATAGAGGACTCCACATTGTCTTTGCACTCTTCAATTCACTACAGGTATTTGCAACCTTTAAAAATAACAAAATAACAACTTGTTCTTACATAGCAGTATTTTTATATAAAACCTATTTTTGTCAATGTCTTTGATGTTAAAGAAATATGCGTGTTATTTGATTTTCCTCAGGGTTTCTTCATTTTAGTGTTTGGGACACTATTTGATTCAAAGGTATGTTGTCTTTAAACTAATAATTGTGGATACAAGATTGATACCTCTTTTGATAGTAGTAGTAGAAGTATTCAAATCCTTTAACCTGCCAGAAGGTAAAAATACCAGATTATAACTTAATATCATGCAATGAAAAAGGATTAAAGTCATATCAGTTTTAGCATTATTGTTATCATATCTTATATTCTATAATGAGATTATCATGAAGCATTGAAAGAAAATGATAGAGATTTCTGTACCTTTGTGATTTAGTGTCCCCAGTTAAAGATTTTAATTTACATTTACACCATAACGTTGAGTGTGCATTTGTTATGTTAGCATTACTTAAGATAAAAACTAGCAGGTCGACAACTTTGTTAACAAAGCCAAACATCAAGAATCAGAAACAGAAGTCCTTAACTGTCCAACGGCAGGAACATTTACAATGTTACAGCAAGCCCAGTGCCAAAGCAAGAGTACACAACACAATAAATAGAAGGCCGGCTAATCAGCTAATCTGGCTATTGACCCCGCCCATCTGGTTTATGTCCTGTAGTTCAGGCTGTGTTGACGCCGTTACTTTTTAATGGGAAAAAAATTACCCAAAGTGAAGAAAACAAGAAAAACAAATCCTGCCAATTTTAACAGAATTACTGGAAGAATGTTTTCGTCCACCATTTCGTAGTGAAGAGCTTTGGATCTTGGAAATACTGGCAGCCTAGTTTTAAGCTCTTGACTATAAGGAATATATACACACGTGTGAAATGAACTTGCTCACTCCATATAACTGGCTGCAATCTAATTACGAGAATGCACTCAAAGTATAGAACAATAAAAAAAAGTACAGGTAATGCCGTCTCAAGGGCTATGAACGAAGGATGGCACAGGTTTAGCATGTATCAGCTTCACTGGAGCACACATGCCATTTTAGAATCACTAAAACTATCTTCCTGTCACGTAAGAGCTAGAATTCAAAGCTTAAAAACACACCAAATGGTTGGCGAAACCATAACAGAGGGTCTCTATCTTCCTTGACAATGATGACATGCTGTATTCCAGCCAATCGTGACTTGCAAAAAGTATTCTGATGAGGTGACGCTGTAGATGTTGCCAATGCGAAACATCCATTCATGCTACTCAGAGAACCTCAGAGAACTCAATGTTATTACAGTTGTTGTTCGGCATAGGTGGAGCTTGTTTTTACTGCTTCAAGCTTTGTTTTGGAATCCATTGTTTTTAAGGTAAACTGGTAATTGTTACATGTGTATAGAGGATTTAGGGGCATTTCTCTGTAATGGATTGGTTGGAAAGAGTTCAGATAACAAAGTGTAACCCAAGGCATTACTGGAGACAATGTAGCCTACTGTGCGAATATTCTTAGCAGCCCCTCTAAAGCTCACAAGAGTGTTAATGCTAATTATAAAGCAAGTAAGCTTATTTTCTCTAAAATGTTAAACTATTGTTGTTTAAAAATGTTAATCTTCTTGAATGTTTTCCAAATCGCACATAAATTGATTGAGATGAATTTGATTTTTCTTTAGATCCGTTCTATCCTCGCAAGAAAATCACCTACAACAAGCACAGGCTCCAATACAACAAGAGTAAGTCATTTTAAAGTGTATGCAGTTTTTCTTGTTCATAATGTTTCTACCCATTAAATAACAAAGATATCCTGCACCTATTTATACCATATAACATTTGGTTTCTACTTTAGAGTACAAGTGGTGGCATTTCCTCCACTGGACTGAACTGGTTCCATCAACTGCGTGGAAGAAGAAGCAAGTTTCTATTTTAAATTGAGCAGTTATTTTCATTTACTGAGATACATTTTCCCTAATAACAATTTGTTATTTGTCTTTCAGACGTCTACCACGTGTCAGAGACTGCAAACTCGGGCAGTGCTGGTGCGTCGGAGTCATTCTCCAATATCTAAATCAATGCATGGAACCGTACACTTTATTTCTTTAGGGCTATTTATTCAAAAGATCTGACAGTTATTGTAGGATTTTCAGCACATAATCAGAAACGATGCAGTTTACTGGGATGATATTGTAAGAGATGGTGCAACAGACATGGTTAGTTTTGAAATCAGAATAGTTTAGGTCCTACAGGCAGCATTAAAATAAGTTTGCATTGTAAAGGTACTGTTCTGTTATTCAAAGCCCTAGGAAAGCAAGTGTGACACAACATTGTGAATGAAACTTTGAAATTACTTTTTATTTTGAAGTGTGAAATGTAGTGGTGCTCTGAATCAATGACGTGCAATGATCAATTATTATCTTAATGTATAGTCGTAGTGTTTCATGATAACATTGATAATACCATGACTATGTTCCTGGGGAAAAGAGCATCATACTTCCTTCATTAAAAGCAAAACCTAAAACCTAAAAAATGTGTAAAAAGATAAATAGATTTTTAGTAACAGTGTAGCTCAATAATGCATGTTAGCTAAACAGCAGCAGTTGTAAGAACAGCAATGAAATGAAACTAAGTGTTTTGAAGATAGATTGGTCTTTGACAGTCAATATTGTATTATAATGTTTAAGGTGACCTATTATGCAAAATGCACTTTTTGATGTATGTTATACATAAATATGTGTCCCCGGTGTGTAAGGAGACATACAAAGTGTCAGAAAATAAAACCCTCTCTCTTTTCCTCCGTACCCACATCTCTAAATACGGGTGTACCATGGAGCTGATCCAGATTTGCTGAGAACTTGACGTCATTACTAAAATGTGGGCTGGCTTTACATTGAAGTCCTGGCAACGTTCCTTATCAGAAACGTCTCTGTATCAGAAACAATGTGCGACGTGTTTTGGAAGTAATATGGTCTGTGTTTACATTAGCAAGCATCGCTAACACTCTGAGCTAACGCTGTACTGGAGAGAGTATGTGGAAAAAAGCAGGATATAACAACTCACCTTGTGGTAAACCCTGCGAGAGAGAAAGCATTTGAGCTCCATACTGTTTCAGAAATAATGCTTGATGTGGTTTGGGACATAATATGGCGTTTAATCACGGCAGCGTTTAGGTGAGTTTCTGCTGGTAGACAGCCTTCTCTTCACAGAGCTCACTGCTTGCATGCAGAAAGGGGCGTGGCCAGCAGAAGCTCGGTTTATATTTGAAGCTACAGACCCAGAATCAGCACTTTAGTAACAGGGCTGAAATAGAGGGGTATGAGGCATGGCTACAATGGGTGATCTGTTTGGTATTTTGAGCAAAACACTTCATAGACCTGTTTTGTATCGATATGGCCCAATAATATATTGTTCAAATATAGCATAATAGGTGAGCTTAAAGTTGTTTCCCCAGTCTTTTAGCTTTTAGTGCCTTAAAAATAGGGTATTGGGTAAGGTTTTCAGTGTAGGTACAAACTGAGTACAAACTGGGGACAAACACTGCCGTCGCGCTTCTTCTTTAATGTGCAAAAAGGAACTCACCTTGTGATAAACCCGCAAGAGAAAAAGCATTTAAGCTCCAAACTGTTTCAGAAATAATCCTTGATGTGGTTTGGAACACGATGGCGTTTAATCACAGCAGAATTTAACTCTTGTGTGGTGTTCATATTTTTGTTACTCAGCCAGTGTTCCTGGGTCTGGTGGACCTGCTGCCTTTTTGGGCTTCAATTCAACACAATCAAACTATTTCATGTTAAAATACTCAACAGATGTTTACTTCATCCCAATTACAAGCAATATAAACAGCATATATGGTTAATATTTGCCCTTTTACGTAACATTTGTTAGATCACATTAAGGAATTAAAGTGCTACTTGTTTTTTTGCCCGCTGACTGGCTGGTCCTGTGGCTCATCTTTTTTTGTAACTAGCTGATGCTCAATCTCATCCTCTTCTTCAAAGTCACTGTCAGACTCAAGATTCTCAGAAATGTTATCCTCACATTCTGAAACCTCTTCCTCTTCCTCTACATCATCATCAAATGGTTCTCTCTCTTCCAAAATAATTTGCAAGGCCCTCTGAGCAGAGAATCAGTTGTGATAAGGACCCAAACTGGCGAAGCTTTTTTTATTGTCTTGCCCCAAATTTGCAGCTTGGATAGAGTGTGAAAAAAATAAAGATTGGTTCCCGCAAAACATAATGCGGGAATGTGAGAGCAGACAGGTGTCGGTGCTTGAATTCAACAACAATGCAGGAACACAAAAGTCACACACACACACACACACACACACACACACACACACACACACACACACACACACACACACACACACACACACACACACACACACACGGCTCAGACAGGTGAAAATTCCCTCACTTTTGTTAGCCCTGGGTCCAGTGAACCCGAACATCCTGTATGTAATGTAAATGTGTAGGTGGGGTGTACAGTGGGTGGTCATTGAAAATGTGCTCTGATGTGTGTTTTTTGAGCAGTCGGAAAATGTTTGTCAAACCTGTATTTCAATTTCACGAAACATGTCAAAAGGTGTATTTTTATGTCTTAGAAATCATTAGAGATGTGTGTTGAAAATAAAATATGTTGTCTTAAAGGGACAGTGCACCCAAAAACAAATAAACATATATTTCCTTTTTAAATTTTTTCACTTTTTTCTCCACAATTTTTTTTTATTCACAGAATTTTAACTTTTCTCGACATTTTTACTTTTTCGAGGGAAATTGAATTTCTTCAAAATGTTGACTTTTCTCAGAATTTTGAATTTCTTCAGAATGTTGGCTTATTCAAGCAAAGTTGAATTTCTTCAGAAATGTTGACTTTTTTCAGAATGTAATTGATTTTCTTCAGAATTTTCTAAGGTTTTTGACTTTTAACTCAAGGCAAGGCAAGGCAAGTTTATTTATATAGCACCTTTCAACACAAGGCAATTCAAAGTGCTTTACAAAAAAATGAAAGACATTAAGAAAATGGCATTTAAAATCAGTCATTAAAAAGAAAAGATAATAAAATAAACATTAAAAGAAAAAATACATGGATAAAAGTTACAGTGCAGTTTAAAATGTGAATAGTTCAATTAAAAGCAGCGACCAAAAGAAAAGTCTTCAGCCTGGATTTAAAAGTAGTAAGAGTTGCAGCGGACCTGCAGGTTTCTGGAAGTTTGTTCCAGATATTTGGAGCATAATAACTGAACGCTGCTTCTCCATGTTTAGTTCTGACTCTGGGGACAGAAAGCTGACCAGTCCCTGATGACCTGAGAGTTCTGGATGGTTCATAATTTAGCAGTAGGTCAGAAATGTATTTTGGGCCTAAACCATTCAAAGCTTTATAAACCAGCAGCAGTATTTTGAAATCTATTCTTTGACACACAGGAAGCCAGTGTAAAGACTTCAGAACAGGAGTGATGTGATCCACTTTCTTAGTGTCAGTGAGGAGCCAGTGTAAAGACTTCAGAACAGGAGTGATGTGATCCACTTTCTTAGTGTTAGTGAGGACTCGAGCAGCAGCGTTCTGAATCAGCTGAAGCTTTCTAATAGATTTTTTAGTGAGACCTGTGAAGACACCATTGCAGTAGTCGAGTCTACTGAAGATAAAAGCATGGACAAGTTTTTCCAAATCCTGCTGTGACATTAGTCTTTTAATCCTAGATATGTTCTTTAGGTGATAGTAGGCAGATTTAGTAACTGTTTTAATGTGACTGTTGAAACTCAGGTCAGAGTCCATGACTACACCTAGATTTCTGGCTTTATCTGTTGTTTTGAACATTGCAGACTGAAGCTCAGCGCTAACTTTTATACGTTCTGCCTTGGCTCCAAAAACCATTACCTCAGTTTTATCTTTGTTTAATTGGAGAAAGTTCTGACACATCCAGTCATTGATTTGCTCAATGCACTTACTCAGTGTTTGAATTGGAGCATAGTCTCCTGGTGAAATTGTTACGTAAATTTGTGTGTCATCCGCATAGCTATGGTAACTTATTTTGTTGTTTTTCATTATCTGAGCCATTGGTAGCATGTAGATGTTAAAGAGAAGAGGCCCCAAGATGGAGCCTTGAGGTACCCCACATGTCATATTTGTCAACTCAGATGTGTATTTACCAATAGAAACAAAGTTTTTTCTGTCCTTTAAGTAGGACTCAAACCAATTTAGAACTGTTGCCGAAAGTCCCACCCAGTTTTCTAGTCGGTCTAGTAATATGTTGTGGTCAACAGTGTCAAACGCAGCACTGAGATCTAATAATACTGACACTGAAGTTCTGCCACTGTCTGTGTTTAAGTGGATGTGATTGAAGACCTTTACAAGAGCAGTCTCAGTGCTGTGGTTTGGATGAAATCCTGACTGGAACACATCCAAACAGTTATTTAAATGCAAGAAGTTACTCAACTGTTGAAAAACAACTTTTTCAATGATTTTACCTAGAAATGGCAGGTTTGATATTGGCCTGTAATTGTTCATTACTGAAGCATCTAGATTATTCTTTTTTAAGAGTGGTTTAATGACTGCAGTTTTCAGGGCCTGTGGAAAAATACCTGAGTGAAGAGATGTGTTTACTATATGAAGTAGATCTGAGGCCATGGAATGAAAAACATCTTTGAAAAATCCTGTTGGAATAATATCAAGGCAGCAGGAGGAGGATTTCAGAAGTTGAATAATGTCCTCTAGGTTTTTATCATTAATCTGATGGAATTGTGTGTGTTTGAATTGATATTAGGTGGACATAGGGACAACACATTTGCTGTACCTGATGCAGAGGCACTGACTGCTTGTCTAATTTTCTGAATTTTGTCAGTGAAGAAGGAGGCAAAATCATTGCATGCCCTGGTGGATAGAAATTCAGAGGCTACTGACACTGGGGGGTTAGTTAGGCTGTCGACGGTAGCAAACAAGGCACGTGCATTGTTTTTGTTTTTGGTAATGATGTCAGAGAAGAAAGACTGTCGTGCGTTTTTCAATTCCAAATTATATAGGCCAAGTCTCTCTTTATAGATTTCAAAGTGAACCTGGAGATTTGTTTTTCACCACCTACGTTCAGCTTTTCGACACTCTCTTTTCTCTGTTCTCACGGTCATGGCCTTTCTCCATGGAGATCTTTTCTTGCCAATCACTTCCTTTACCTTAGTTGGAGCAATGGTATCTATAACATTTTTAATTTTTTAATTAAAATGATCTACTAGCTAATTTACTGAGATGTTAGCAGGGGCAAGTGTGGATGAAAAATTATGAGTAAACATTTCCCTAGTATTTCCGGTTAAATATCGCTTTGTGGTTACCTCTTTCTGAACATTTTTGTGAACAGAAATAGAGCTCTCAAAGAAAACACGGAAAGGAAAATTAATTTCTTCAGAATTTTGACTTTTTTTCAGCATTTCTTTTTCATAATTTGAAGTGAGACACTAGAGAAAAGTAAAGGATCTGAATACCTTTGTAATACCACCACCCAAATATACTTCCCTCTCGTCACCTCTCGTCATGCTGTGATTCTTCCAGCAGGTGGCGCCCTGCAGAGCATCAAACTGTGTTATAGGAAGGAGCTTCATTTATCTAGTGTATGGGAAGGAGTGTGTGAGCATATGTTTGCAGCTCCTCCCGTTATATTCCCTCACACAGAGCACTTGGTCGGTATCTTACAAATATTTGTCAGGTTGCAGGTCTTTGTGTCGCAGAGTCCTGAAAAAGCAGCATTTTTTTTAACGATATAGAAAAGGAGAGAAGATC